CCTTCATTTGTTAAATGAATGGAAATGTCCGTTATCTCTACGTCTTTTCATCATCTATACAAAAGCCAAAAACTAGCTCCATGCACTTCCTACTCTGTCTCCATAAAAATAATTCAACATGTCCATGTCCTATATATTAACTAGTTATTATTTATTCATTCAGATTCGCATAGAATGCATGGAGCTGGTGGAATTAAAGAGCGTCTAAAAAACAGTTCAAAGTAGTTGCAAAGGGGCCACGCATAGGATGGCATGGGAGATAGTAGTGACTTGTGAGTGTAGTTTGATAGAATATATTGATTACACGCTCTATTTGAGTTCAAAGTCCAAAACGTCATGTGCTTTGGGATTTATGGAGCCACACCTATGTAGTATACTGTAGAGTGTAGAGCGTGGCAAAAATTGATTAGTGGGCCATAACATCAATATCGTTACCTCATATCCAACTTTTGTACTCAATTCTGGATAATATAGCCATTATCTATACTTCCACTAACAAATTAGTATCATTTTATGTTGCCTTTCAGTCACGGAAAAACGTGACCAAAATTGCAGTAGCAATAACTGCTGAGGCTAATTGTTTGGACTAAACTAACGATACACTTATAATAAATTTTAATCAAAATTTCTAATAGTTTTTTTTATTCTTTTATCACACTATTTATCTTATCTATCACTTCTCTTATCTTCTCTTCTTATCGCTTTTTCTAATGATAAAAATGTTTGTAAATTTTTTATTGTAAAAATATTATTATTCTTTGGATTAAAATACTATTGTCACAATTATAGTTGTCAATTGTAATTTAAAACAATTTATTAAAAATATTTATAATAGAAACTTATTAATAAATATTTTAAAAATATTTTTATGAGAAATCACGCTAACAATTTACTAAAAATATTGTGTTACACTTATTAATAAATGTTCATTTTCTATCACTCTGGTTGCGAGCTCTGAAAAAATATTTCTAGCTTAGCAATGATTGTGATCATTTTTTCTATTATTTTATTGTTCAGTCCAAAATAGACAGGGACTTATCCTCTCTTTGGCCCTTTTTATATTTGAATTTTCTTTGATGTGGTGAACTAAACTACAAGGAAAGCAAACTTGCAGTAAAAACGATTTCTTTTTCCTGCACTTATCTTGGGCTTCTCCTTTATTTAGAAGGAAGAACAAAGAACTGTAGAAAGGTGGGTACATACAATCCCAACCTCAAGCTTCTTTTTTCAACCTAACTCTTCATTCATTGGATTTTTGTCACTCGAACGTTAGCTCAGATGCAAACAAAGCAACCACAAAGTGGCCCCCATATTAAACTGTTTATTTCGGCTTCTTGAGGCAACACATCATTGTTGAGCACTTGGGAGTTAAGTTCCACTGGACATTAACAAGTAACATCATGGGAGTTTATAACAGTGTTTTTGCTAGGTATGGGATTGCAACATGGCCTTCATCCGACAAATAATGTTATCCCACAAGCTTACCAAACAGCAAACCGAATGACACTCTCACTCTTTGTGTCAACATAGGAGGGAAGTTAGTTTCGTTATACATGAGCTTGATGGGTGAGGTTGTGAGACAGGTCATATTTCATCACCACCTTATAAATATTTTTGGGCTCTATTATTCGACACATGTAATTATCCTTAGCTAGGTACATCAATTTTGTCTTTGAAATTATAAATATGGATCAATTTAATTTTTAAAATGACAAATTACAAAAAATATCATTTTAATATTTAAAATTATCAAATGGTTTTAGTCTTAATGCTACTAATCAATTGAGCATTTAGTTTTTAAAATTATTTAAAAAAAACTTGACTAAAATGACCAACATACGATAACTTTAGGAACTAATTAATGCACATTTTTAGATTTTTGAGAATTAAATTAGTTGATATTTATAATTTGAGGGGCTGATTTGGTATATTACTTTCCCAAATCCAGGGAAAATTATCTCATAAGAGCAATAGCTGAATGCCAGTTTCACATATTTGAGGAATTAAAACTTGCGATTCATTTCTTTGGGAACAAGGGTAGCTTTTCCTTTATGCTTCCAGTGAGGCTGCTAAATCTGCACCATTGCTTTCTTTTATTCTCGACCAACCTCTCTTACCCCACTTTTTTTCCCTGTGCTTTTTTCTACCCATGTGGACCTTTAAATCACATGCTCCCACCTCCTTTCCATCGCTAACATCATTCCTAATCCTCCTTTTTTCTGATCAATCTCACATCTTCTGCCCCCTTTAGCCCCATCATTCTCTCTCTGGCAACTCTTCACTTTATTAATCAGAATCATTAATTAATAATAATGTAATTAGAACTACTTTGGACTATATCTCAATTGCCCAATAGCGCAGTTTTATTGACTCTATGCACTGATTTCAATTCCATCAAGCATGACATGAATGGGGTTTCAATTTCATACAGAAGGTATGACTCCCATAGCATAATCATCAAAGGTGGCCCAACTCCCCCTTATAAACCCAAATCGAAAAGTAATCTAATTTTGTGCCTTACTTTAATATGGTTCCCTGTAATTATATCCTTCTTTGGATAAAAATTGCTATATATACCTCCAAATTAAGTATCTTCTCGCTCTTGCTTTGGACATCTTATCTTAAAGCATGGAATTGGAGACACAACATGTGCATCATTGCAAGCTTTCATCATTAGCCTGCGTCAATATGTTGTCGAAGGCATAGCTAAGATAAGTACCTATAGATGACATTTAGGACAATAACTAGTGGCACATGATTGGGCATTCGGTGTATTAGATACAAACAAACGCCACCGGGTGTTTGACCAAATGAGCAATAGAGTTCTTTTCACTCAACATATATTGAGAAACACAAATAAACATAGTTTGAGGTGGGAAAAAATGTCAAACAAACATGTCCTAAAACGTTTCTGGTCACCACCGCCCCCTTTGAGCACCAAAAAAATAAACAATTTTCTAGTCACCTACACCTACTGCTGAAAATTAAAAAATCACAGCACGTTTGAAGATAACAAGAGTACTTGTGTGAATTATTACATTTTAGATTTCATCCAATAGAAGTCTACAGTATGCCCAAATGTACAAGCCCAATATGGCCCTTTGATTATTTAATTTAGGGAAACACCTAATTTTAATGCTGCTAAACATGAATAAGTAATGGCATGGCTGGCCTTTTTTTAATATTTATTTCTACTTAATATATTTTTATTAATAATTACAAAAAAATTTATTTTAGGTTTCACATAAAATGTTATGACTGCAATATGGTGCTTTTTTATTATTATTTCTTTGTAAATTATTGTAAATAAAATATCAAGTGGAAATAATATAATATTTTTAATAAATATTAGTAAAATAATATTTAAAAATAAAAAGAAGAGCTTTTAGTTTCAAGAAATAATTTTTTAAACTTTTTATTATCACTTTTAATTAAAAATTGACACTTTATTTTCAGTTTATTTCTTGCTTTTAAAGTTTCATACAGAAAATGCTAAAAATATTTTTTCACTGTTTTATTATAAATTTTTTCTTGTTTTTAAAGTTTCATACAGTTTAGTTCTTGTCGTAATTTTTTTTTTCTGAAAGCAACCAATAGAAAGAATTAATAGAGGATGGAAAGAAGCCCGAAGGCCGATCAATCTATGGGCCTTCGGCTTTAGTTCATAATCGGTTCTTTTATTTGGTCAAAATCGTAATTAGGGTTGAGCTCTTTGTTTTTTTTTTAATGATGATCCATGTTCAATGTATTGACTTGCTGTTGTACTTCCCTGGGCCTAGATTCCTTGGGCCTTTGTTTTTCATGAATTGGAAACTTCCTGTCATTTTTTTTATAATTGATAGGTTGATACACATTGACCATTTTTTTTAAAAATTATACACCTTAAGGAGAGCTTTTTTTTAAAGGTATTCAAATAAAATTAAGTCTGATATTTAATTTTAAAATTCAAATTTTAAAAAAAAATCTCATTTATTAAATTATGTTTATAAAATATTATATAAGAGCCATTTCATATTTTATTAAAATAACATCGATTATAAAATTATATGTTCATAAACTTCAATCTATTTAGAATATATTATCACAATGTTTATTGATTTAATTCGCTAAAATTTCGTTTTATGAAAATATATTAAGTAGTATTTCTTCTAAAAGGATATCTATTTTATATATGTTTAAACTTCTTAATCAGAAAAATAGATATTATGCGTTGAAGCTTAAAAGAGACGATAGCAAAAATAATGATATTCGGATTTCGAAGTTATGGATATATTTGTAATAGGGATTAAATCATAATTGGCAATAAAGTAATCAGAAAAAGAGTATACAATTTTTTAGGTTATTAATTATATTAATAATTTTTAACTATTAAAATAATTTTTATAAATTAAATTGTTCAATGGAAGAAATATATTAAAAAAAATTGGATACATTTTTTTCTCATTTGATTTGGGTACATATTTTTCTCAAATCAAACTAAATGCATCCGACGTAATATACCATGTTTTTTTTTTTCATGCACCATACTTTAAGTTTTAGTATTAGTGTATACTAGCGCCTTGTAAATTTGCATATTTTATTTTAATTCAAATAGAATTGATATTACGTATATTTTTTTTTTTGGTAAATAGATACGTATATTAAAATTTTAATTTATTATATACTATAGAGAAAAAACATATAAAAATAATTACATAAACTATAAGTATTTAAACATAATTTATTTAGAGATTAAGAAAAAAAACTTAAAAGCTTACTTTTTTATATTTCTCTTAGATTTTAAATAATTAAATATATCATTAAAATGATAATAATTTAGAAATAAATCAAATATAAATCAAAGAAATCTTCCCTAGAATACTAATAGATAAAAACATATTATTATATGTAGAATATTCTTATGGTTAAGTTCTTTGACGACTTTGAAGTTATTTTTTCACCTTTAATAGGACCGATCCAAAGTTTTAAAAATATATAAAAGAAGAAAAGGCGAATTTTTGGGGTGAAAAAGAAAATTGAAAGCGAATGAAGGAAGAGAAGAGGAACGAGGGAGAGGGAGAAGAAGACGCGCGTCATGACAACCGTTAAGTGATTCGTGAGAAGATATGACGTGGCATCTTCATAGCTCTCTGATTTTTCTTCCAAAAAATCAAAATTCCCCACTTGCCATTCGCTTCCGTTCTTCTCGTCACTTCTCTTCCTCTCCTTCTCATCTGATTCTGAATCTCGCAACGAGAAACGCCGTTTCCCTATCCCAATCTCCAGGTATGTCTGTCGTTTTGATTCTCTCATTCACTGTTGCCGATCCGAATATTTATGTTAGTGTGGAAGGTAGTTTTGATTTTGAGCGCAATGGATTCGTTGATACCACGTGTCTTTCGGAATGTCAATGTCAATGTTCGATTCGTGTGTTGTGCAGGATTTGCATTATTCGTGTATTGCTGTGATTTGAGAGTGTTGTGAAATTTTACTGGCGGGAATGTTCATGCATGAGTGATTTTGAAAGCTTAGTTGCTTATTTGATTGTGATATAAAGATTGTGATGGCTTCAGCTGTCGTGAATTTCGTTAACGCTACGTTAGATTGGGTGACGTTTGCTTTAGATGCTCCTTCTGCGCGAGCTGTAGTTTTTGGAGTTCATATCGGTGGTAATTTTTTCATTTCCTGGATTGGAATTTCTTTTCTTTTTAATTGGACGATTACGAATGTGATTTATTGATTGATTAATTCCATTTTAACCCTGTGTTTGAAGGACATTTATTTATCGAGGTTTTTCTCCTGGTGGTCATACTTTTCTTACTTTCTCAGAAAAGTTACAAGCCTCCTAAAAGACCCTTAACAAACAAGGTTAGTTCAACAGTACTATTTAATTATCTCTGTCTGTGCATTTTTTGATTTATTATATATATATATAGGGGCAGGAAAAAACTTTTACACCTAATCTTAACCTTTTATTTAACTTAAATCTCATGACCAGGTAAATTATAACCGGTAAATTATAACCGGTTAGATTTAAGTTAAATGAAAGGTTCACATTGGATCTAAAAAAGTTTTTAGATTTACACCGGTGTAAGAAGATCCTTCTTCTTATATATATTCTAGTTTTCTGTTATTTGTTGAATGTTAACTGTCTTGAGCTGATATATGGCTTGTGTAAACTTTTATGTGAAAATAGAATTCGCATATGGTTCATTATCAATGTGATTTTTTTTCCCGAATAAAATGACATTTTTTTGGCTATTTCATCAAATCCATGTAGGCTTCACCTTTAGATTGCATGCGAAGTTAGTACGAGTATATTGTGCAGCTGAAAAGTTGTTTCTGTTAATGTTTAGATTTTAGAATTTCTCCTAATACCTTGATATAAATAGAGTATTAGACATTCAGTTATTGTGGATTTGTGGTTTTTAGTTGTTCTAGGCACTTTAGATGGGACGCTTCTCATTAGTCTTTGGAGTTCCTATCGATGGAAAGTTTGCTCTTCAGATGGGGGATTTTAGCTATGCTTTTTTTTTTCTGGTGCTTACATGGAACTACTCTAATATTTATTTTCTGTTTTCATTTTCCTTCAAGTAGTTTTGAGAACCAATTTGTGATAGCTTTCAGTTTGTGAATTTTGGAACTAATGACTAGCTCGCCATGATTGTATAATAGCAGCTCTCTTTATGTTGTATGATGTATTTGGACTTGCTTTTCTGATGATTGTTGATGCAGTTATACTTTGTATAGACATATCTCAGAATGCAGACAAAATTATATATGGTTCAAACTTCCTGTCTTTACTGAATTTAGGTTTACACTTGGTAATTGATGTCTGTTGGTTGATTTTTTGGCAATATAGGTTGTTCTGCATTTTTGGAATATAGCTAAACTGGTAATGTTTGAAGGTCTTGAATACTTGATATGAAAATTGAAGATTTCATTTGTTTCAAAAACTTTTTTATAGTTCTTTTTCAAAGAATAATTAATTTGTGTACCTGATTTATAACTCATTGTCTTCTCTTTCTCTCTTGTAGTCTCATGTCTTGGAAATGGTGTTTTTTCTAATGAGTTCTGCTCAATGGATGTATGCTTTGCACCTGTTGGTGCTTGAAAATATGCTACTTGCATGATGCAATGTTAAGATGGATGTTGGGGGATGATGTTTTTGGTTAGCAATTTATTTTTTGTGTCAACAGCCACTGCTTAAAATATTGAATTCTTTTAAGATACATTCAAATTTATCAGTCTCTCTCTTTTTTTTTTTCAATTATTGTGTAGAATATTTGAAGTTACTATTTTATTTTAAAGGAAAAACCTACCTTATTCTCTTGAGTGAATAATTATGCCTTGAATCTGTAAGCATATTGTTCCATGCTTGTTCTTCTACTAGGAAATCTGATACCCATCATGTTATTATTTTTGTTATGCTTAATATCTGCAGGAAATTGACGAGTTATGTGACGAGTGGGTTCCTGAACCCCTTATTCCTTCTCTTAATGAAGAGTTGCAGTATGAACCGCCAGTGCTGGAGAGGTGATTACTTTTTCTCTGGTTGTAGAACACTCGTTTACTTTTTATTTTTAATCTTTTAAACATTTTGTTGATGAAATCCTGAAATTATCATATATTATTTTGTAATTGTTAATTTCACTGTTATGGTTGCATTTTCTTGACCTTCATGAATTTTTTGAGGGAGAGCTCTCTTGGTTAGGTTTCTGTTTGTAACCTCCATTAATATTTAGTTGCAATAGCTTAGTTAATTGCTTGTTAGTAAGTTAGGCTTGCTTGTTAGTAAGTTAGGCAAGATAGTTTGAATAAGGGATGTTGCCTATAAATAAGAGGGGACGTGCCGAGAGAGATCTAGTCTTTTGTGAAAGATTTGGGGTCCTTGGGCATTGGGAGGTACAAACCCTCAAAATTCTGCAAGTTAGGCACTGTATTCAAGCGGATGATTTCGTTATTCTATTTCTTTCTAATAAGATACCAACTTTCTATCAGTTTCCACCTTGTGACATGTTCATCTTGGATTTTTGTTTATTTATTGGCTTTATTATTGTGGCTTGGGTTATTGCAGCAGAAACTCTGTCCACCGGATTAAGGTTGTGACATAAGACACTACCCACTATTATGGGAACCTTGTGCACTGGATGACACTTTAGATTTATAAAATTCTTGCCTTTTTATTTTGAAATAAAAGTGTTCTCCTCCATGAATTAATGATATTTCAAATACCTCCTACTTTTCAAAGTCAAACACAAAATAATGTGTTTTGTTTTATGCAGTGCTGCTGGGCCACATACCATTATTAATAGCAAAGATGTTGTCAATTTTGCTTCAGCAAACTATCTTGGGTTTATAGGTCATCAAAAGCTACTTGTAAGGAATTGGTGCCAACATCCATGATAAATTCCTTCTTTTTTTGGCACTGGATTGATGCACTTAGTTTATATTTATTTTTTCTTGTAGGACTCGTGTTCTTCTGCTTTGGAGAAATATGGTGTTGGTTCCTGTGGTCCTCGTGGGTTTTATGGAACAATTGGTAAGACTCAATTCTTGAAGTTTTTTATTTTTTTAGGAAATGCTTGTTTTCTTAATTCTTATGATACTATTTATTTGCCCAGATGTCCACCTTGACTGTGAAGCAAGAATAGCGAAGTTTTTAGGAACCCCTGATTCAATTCTCTATTCTTATGGACTTTCCACCATGTTCAGTGCAATTCCAGCTTTCTCTAAAAAAGGAGATATAATTGTGGCGTAAGTGTGGATAAACTTGTCTTTGAATATCTACTAAGCTGTCATATTCAATTTTTCCTTGGTTTTTGTCTTAATGCATTTATTGTGGGTATTGACATCACATATAAACTTATTTTCTATGAATTTATCTCATTGCTTTTGCTTCATTATTAAAATGGTATAAAGAATGAGCTGAGGTACTTCTCCATTTACTTGATTTTTCAAAATTTGTTGCAGAAAAATGTCACTTGATGTTCTGAGTGGGTTCACGTTTCATATTTAAGTTTTTATGTTTTACAGGGATGAAGGAGTCCATTGGGGAATACAAAATGGCCTTTATCTTTCTAGAAGCACAGTGGTGTATTTTAAGCACAATGACATGGATTCTTTAAGAGAAACTCTACATAATATTATTTCCAAAAACAAGCGGGCCAAGCAATTGAGGCGTTATATTGTTGTTGAAGCTGTCTACCAGGTAGATATAGTCTGGCATGCATATGGTAGATTAGCTTTACACTGCTACACTGTGTTTCCAAAGAAATGCTCACATTACAACCCTTAGCTCTAAAAGTAAGCAACTGCCTGCATTGCTTGTTTCTTCTTACAACTAACAATATTGATAGTTTGTGCCATATGAACTACCAGTTCTGCTGAGAAAGGAGGGTAATCAACAAATGCAAATTGAAGATAATTCTGAATAATTGAAATAAATATTTGTTTATTTTATACAATTATCCAATCAGCTTATAATTATTTGGGCATTTAAAAGAACACAAATCTATATACTTGAGAATACTTATAAATTTGGTACACGCATTAATGCATGCATTTGTGTGCTTTATAACATATATCATTCTTGTGCAGTTATGAAGACTTGTGGTCAATTTTATACATACATATATATATATATATATATATATATATATATATATATATATATATATATATATATATATATATATATCTAAAAAGCTTCCTCATGCAAGGCCCAGTTGGCTTAAAGTGTGGACAATGCATGTGCCTTCTATACTTCATTTTAAAGTTTGAAATGGGGGAACATGACTGAAAAATGCCAGACAACCAACTCTCCTAAAAGCTTAAGTTGTTTAGATGAAGGATAATGATTGGTTTTATTACTCTTGAGAGAAATAATTTTGTAATTAAATTGAAAGAAAAGTTTTATTGTACTGCAATACGATCAATTATTCTATATGATAGTGAATGTTGGACTTTAAAAGAATAACACAAGAAGAAAATAGGAATGACAGAAATGAAAATGTTAAGATGGATGAGTGGTTGTATAAAAAAATGACAGGATAAAAAATGAATACATGAGAATATTAGAGTAACACTTACAGTGGAAAAGCTGACAAAAATTGTCTATAGTGGTTTGGTCACATGTAGAAAAGACCTTTGGATATACTGATGAAAAGAGTGAATTGCATGACTTAATTCGGTAAAAAAAGTTAAGAGAGACTCAAAAGAACCTTAGATATAGTTATTAAAAGAGACTTTTTTATTAATTTGATTTATGAAAATGGTTTTTGATTGAGATCAATAACACTATGATTTATGTAGTTGACTTCACTTATTGGTTGTTATTGTTATTGCAAATAGACTTTTCTGCAATTTTTCACTATTTTCTACATTTTTGGTTATTCAGGTTTTTCTTATAGGTGCCAAAATGGGCTTGTAAAAAAAAAAATGTGTTTTGCTGCTAGATTTGTATCTCTGTCTGTTGCAATGTCATTCCTTAAAAAACTATGACTGCTTACCTTGGATTCATTCTGAATTTTTATAGTTATTTTTTCTTCAATTGTACTAATGTTTGTCTATGACCATATGCCTTGCTTACATGAAAACTATAAATTGCTTGACGTCAACCTATTAATTTCTTTTTCCTTGTAATATTTTCAGAATTCTGGCCAAATAGCACCCTTAGCCGAGATCATTAAATTGAAGGAAAAATATCGTTTTCGTGTTTTGCTGGATGAAAGCAATTCATTTGGTGTTCTTGGAAGTTCTGGAAGAGGTCTCACTGAATACTGTGGAGTTCCAGTATGTATTGAATTTCTTTATTTTGAGTATTGATGCATATTGCACATTAGATGCAAGTGTGCATATATTCAAAATTGTCTTGTTATATGTGATTTATGGTTACGAGTTGCAGGTTGAGAAGATAGATATCATAACTGCTGCTATGGGACATGCATTGGCTACAGAAGGAGGATTCTGCACTGGAAGTGCTAGAGTTATAGATCACCAAGTATGGAAATGTCATGTGATATATAATGAGTAATCATCTACAAAGTAATATGTTGGGTTTCTTAACATCCTGAATAGAAAAAATTGTGACATGGAACTTTTAAGAATCTACTATCGAGGGTTATTTTTAGTTTTATTTACTTTTCATTATTTATTCCTGAATTTATGGGTCTGATCTGTAAAAGTTGCCTGATGGGAGTGATGTGTTGTCATTAATTTTTACTATTTGATGATGGCATGTTCTCATCCTCTTTCCATGCTGTAATATCTCTGTTTTCAAACTTGGCAGCGATTAAGTAGCTCTGGTTATGTCTTTTCTGCTTCTTTGCCTCCATATCTTGCAAGTGCTGCAATTACAGCTATTGATGTCCTGGAGGAAAATCCAAATCTGATAACAAAGCTGAAGAGCAATATTGCCTTGTTATGGAAAGGTGGGCTTTGATCTCACTGCTAGTTTCCTAAATGGAGTTGTATTGTAGTGTACATTTTGTCTTATGCACAAGATGTTACAGTTTAACTTGCTGTTTATTTCCGTTTGTTTTTCCCCCATGAAAACTAGGATTTTATTTCATTGTTTTGGTTAAGCACTATGATTTGAGATATGTCGGCCACTGCAGGATTATCAAAAATACCAGGCTTCACAGTTGCAAGTAATCCAGAGTCACCGATTATTTATTTGAGATTAAAGAAATCAACAGGTTCCATGAAAGATGACCTACATCTGCTTGAAAATATTGCTGAACGTGTAAGGAAAGATGTTTGGTAATGTTTATTTCTTATTTTCAATTTTGCTTGTGCTTAATGTTGTGTATTCGCAGCTTTTGAAAGAAGATTCTGTATTTGTGGTGGTTTCCAAAAGATCAACATTGGACAAATGCCGTTTGCCTGTGGGAATTAGATTATTTGTTTCTGCTGGGCATTCAGAGAATGATCTGATCAAGGCGTCTGAATCATTGAAAAGGGTTGCAGCATCAGTCTTGGGTGGTCATAATTGAACGGTGTACAACCTTCTATTGGATCTTTTTATGTACCAAAGACATAAGTTCTATTCTTCTATGTTTAGGTGAGCAATTTTGAGATCCGGGTGATGAAGAAAGTCCTGTAGTTGATTATTCATGTAATATTCTGTGCTAGTTTAGGGTAACAGTATTTTGCGCGTTACTCATTGGTTTATACGTGCCTCAAGTGGTAGAATAAGGATCTAATGTTTCTTATCATGAGTTGGGGAAAATGCCTATGAATTACATTCCGGTATTTTTTTGGTCACTTCGATTGCTTGCATGAGATATCCATATTACATTATTCATTGGTTAGCTGTTCAACAGTGAGGTTGGCGAAGGTCCCTACCATTGCCCGAATACATACTCGAAGTTGCTTTTCTTTATTAGTCAAACTTGTCTTGTTCGTAATGTTCTATTTCCAATCAGCGTATATTTCTAATTGCAGTTACTCACCAATTTAAAACTCATATATTTAGGATTGAAGCTATAATAATAATTACTTTATAAATTTGAAACTTTTAAAGATTTAAAACATACTCTTGCTACATTTTGAAAAATGAGTATATTAGCCAGACCTTTTAAGAATTTGTCAATTAATTCAAAGTTATACATATTGAGGAGGGGGAGAAACTGGACATACGAAAGTTCAAGTTAATTTATTTAATAAATAAGTTAAAAGTTGTGATTAAAAATTTCACTTTTTAACTCGTAAACTTAATTGATAAAATTACCAACGATTTGATCATGGATAACTTGTAAGTTGAATGTCTGGGGTGTTGATGCTAACATTGCTTGTTTAAAATATTTGAAGTTGACCAAAAGCAAAAGTTATAGGTTTTTATTGAGAACAAATATTAATCGCATTTTTTTATTGTTAGTATAATAAATATTTTTTTAATAGCAATGTATTACCTTTTATATGCTTTATAATAATAACTAGATTTAATTTCCGCGCTATGCATGGATATAAAAAATTAATTTTACGAATAATAATTAATAAAATAATATTAGAAAATATAAATTTATTGATAATTAGTTTTTAAAAATATATTTAATTAATATATTATAAATTTAATTAAAATTTATTGATAAGATGAAATATTTTTATATAGTTATTTAGTCACAGATGATTGACTTTTATAACAATTATTTTAAAATTTATATCTATTATATATTCTAATTGATTGATACTGTAGAAAAATTATATTAATAATACATTAAAATTATATGCATAAATTATTTGATTTTTAAAATATTTTATTATTCTATTTTTAATATAAAATTAAAATTGAATATTATATTAATATTTATATTTATATGTATGATAATTGCATAATATATATTATAATTGAAGAGAAAAAATAGTACGAAGAAGTAGACAAAATATCAATCAAAATTAAAGTCAAAATTGGGATTTAATTTTACAAATTGAAGGTTGGAAATAGATGTTTGCTTTTATATAATAATAATAATAATAATAATAATAAAACTGAGAGATAATTAACTGTTTTTCTAACACATAGATCATTATTCATAATAAGAATTTATACATAGTAAGTTTTATTAAAAATTATAAATTTCAATAAATTTAATGTATTGATGCTACTAAATACTACAATTTCTAATAAAACATACCATTTATTAATTTTTTTATTATGAGCAATGTTGCACCGAAGACTTAGAAAAACCATAATATTAACAGCAATGCACCATTTAATTAGGGTAGGGATTTTACTGGGCTTTGAATGGTTATCCCGTAAGTATATCTAACCTTCAGCCAAGGTGATAATTAAGTAAAGTCTAGATTGGCGATTTCAAGATTCCAACACTTACAACTCTCACAAGTGATTAAGTTAGGGATTTAGGAAACATGGTAGGCACTATCTTAGCTTCTCAAGGTTGACATGCCAGCTAATCATCAAATCCATGAAATTAAAGGTTGTTTTCTCACGACATATTTGTTTCCTAATTTATTTCTTAATGAGGACACGTTCACTACTTTAGTGCCGCTACGTGGTTCCTAGAAAGTCATGCTTAGTGAAGCTCACGATGTTTAATCTAATTAAATATACCACACAACAATTTGTTCTTTTCATACAATTGCAGTTTGTTGAAAGGGGTTTTTCAAACCAATTTGAAAGTAGATAATTAAGATTATTTTAGTGAGGATTATGTTAAGCAAGGATAATTATGATTATAACTAATGAAGATCATTGAGTATAATTACATGCGCCCATCAACTCCGTAAGTGGTTTCGTTATTTTGACATTTGACGAGGGTATTTGACACGTAATTATTTTTTCATTTTTGTTTTATCAGTTATGAAATGCAACTAAATGCTCTCATTGGTAGCATTTTCAACTTTTCTAAGTTAGAGCTGAATCTTTCTAACAAAAGAAAAAGTGCCTTGTCGCTTGAAAATTGCTTCATGAATGCCGAAATATCTGTAATAGAAACTGCGCAACTTGCAAGTTTAATCCTGCGATTCAGGATTTTTAATTGTATTCACCACTTTTTATAGTGTTTTTTTAATTAAGAACACCCACGGTTTAGAAATTTTGTGGATGACCAGGGTTCATCCTTGCTTTAATAATAGCTTTGATGTGAAAGAAAGATTTTCATATACATCCTATTAACAATTGTCTTAATATATTGGTTGAGAAATCAATTTTATTACAAATTACCATGAGATAATACATTGATAACATTAATTAAAATAAATTTTCACCTTTGATTTTTTAAACAGTATCTTAGGATAATGGTTAGTATTGTAACATGGACCGGCAGAGAGAATGTATGCAGAAAAGTTAGAAAGGGAGAACTGAAAGTATAATTTGTGATATTACATAATTATTTACAGAGGGAGGAAAACGTTCTCTCCTGAAAGGCAAAGCTATGTGCTTAGCCACCAAAGGAGAAAAATATGAGTAGAAAATAAGAGACAAAACTGTGTTAACTACAAGTTAGTCAGTGTTAAAACCTCCACAATTGACAACAAAGTCTGCAATGTATATGAACCTCGTTCTGTGTGTTTTGTGCATCCGCATGTAGGACTGATTCATTATGCTCTTGTGGCTGCTGAAGATCTAACTCAGATGATGATGGTACACAAAAACATTCTTCCATTTGAATGTGATGATTTATATGCAGCAAAGGCATGCCCATTTTTGAACAATCAGAAAAAAGCTATATTAAATTATGCAACAGTTGTTGTAAGCTATGAAAGTGTGTGTGGAGATTTTTCTGAACCATCCAAGACTATTTCAAATAGATCAGCCTCAGACTCCTCATCAAAATCGAAGGCATGGTTATTATTAGTCCCATTGTTGTGGTTTCCTTTTATTGCAGATCGATTAAGCCACTGAGAATCAATCCTTCCCATTGAGAACAACTCCTTGCTGTCATCATAACCAATGGTAGCAGCAGGGGAGTTTACAAGTGGGGCTATGAAACATGGATTTGGTGTTCTTTGTGCATTTGCAGGTGCGTATTTGAATGCACTTTGTCCAAAATTAACTAAAACCACAATGTCTACGTTTGCAGCCAGCGTTGGACAAAGTGGAGTGCCAAATTCCTCTGATTGGCAGTGGATCACATGCACCAATTCTGAGTCCAAAGTGAAGAAAACCTTTTTCTGCCTTGGATCATACCCACACCCAACTACCCTATCAGCTCCTACCCATTGTGCCTTCTCTGACTCCAACACAAGTTTCATTCCTGTAATCAAGTTTTTCACTTTGATTTGTCTAAAGGAACATAAATAAATGAATAGTTGTATGTGTACCAATTTTTATACAAACAATTTTTACACCAAAGAAAGAGGTAGCCAGGAAAGGGCTCAGTATGAAATAAGATGAGTGATGTGATGGTGAGAAATAGAGAAAAAAAGTAATTGTGTATAAATTGTAAGTGTTGTGTATGAATAATATTACTCTAAATAAATCAGCATAAATTGAAAACATATTTGTGAAAGTGAGTGATTCTGGCATACAAAGTATTTATATGGCACAACCAATTAAAAACTCTATTATAATAATTAAAAATATTAATAAAGTCCTAGCTGAAGTTTCTTTCAATATCATCTTAACTAACATTTTGATTAGTTGTACAATTGATTCGTGCAAATAGAAGAAGATGCAATACAACTAACAGAATTCTGCCGTTATTTACCTGTAACTATAACTAGTCTACTTACCATATAAGTACGGCATTGTCATATATTGTGAACTGAAACATTTCATGTGGGCCTTTCAATGTTGATGTTTTAGGTGAGAGCTAAAAATGTGTCTTTGATTGGGTCAAGCTGTTCACTTTCTAACACATCAGGACAAAGCTAAAACTTGTGCACTGTGAATCTTTACTGCACTTATCAGTATCACCTAATTAGTAAACACCCTATACTCCGATCTATAAATTTTGACCTATAGGAAATGGAATGTGGCCTAAAGACCTTTGCTCAAAGGGTAAATGTAAAAACAAAATGATCATGGCAAGCAATAAGATAAGGGTAGGCAATTTAGTTACCTTCAAGAAAGACAGAACCATTGGAATTGAACCCAATGCTCCTAGGGTAGCTCCCTGGAACTCTCAAAGGAACAGCCCCTCCTGCTGTCAACCCCAATGAAAACATTACAGATCCACTCTTTCCACTACCCTCTTTACCAAGTTTTGTTTCTTCAACTATGCCCAAATCACCTTTTCCATTTGAACTATCTTCAATGAGCAGTTTTGTCTTCTCCCCTTCTCTCTTTCCAACCAATTCATGATCATTAGCAAGATAGCACAATATGGTGATTTCAAAATAGGCCTCTTGTGGGAAGGCATAGTTTCCCAAAGGAGGGCCAGGTAGTGGCAGAGCAGTCCTAATGACAGAAGCAACACTCATGGAAGAGTTGTTTGTGTGAAGAACCCTTTTCAACCCAGGATTGAGCCTAATCTTCTGCACATATTCAGCTGATCCCTGACACACTTCCCAGCTTATCTCAGCCTCAGATTCTCTTCCATATTCACCAGCAGCACACACTCCTAAAAGGGTTGATTTCTTTGAAGGAGTTGGCATGTTGCTCTTGTAGTTAGTAAAAGCAAATCTACACCAACCATTTTCTACAGCATCAGCAGCAAGGTATGGATGATCAGCCCAATTAAATAGATGTTTTCTTCCAGAGACCCCATTATGAAACACATACAAATTGCCTTTTTTCTTGTTCTTCTGATCAAATTGTTGATAGATTGTAGGTTGGTGATGAAGCCTTGCAATTCCAGCTTGAAGACTATCCATTCTGGTCAAACTATTGGGTTCAACAAAGTTTCTGTGATTATGTTTTCTGTGATGACACAAACGCCACAAAAAAACCAACAAAAGGGTTGAAACACATCCCACTGAGGCTGCTACCACAGCCACATGTATCCATTGACCCATCTCTGATCTTCTGCCAGAGATTCAGATTCTTTCTTCTGCTTTCTTTTCCTTTTCAATTTCTTATGCATAGAACACTGTTCCTATGCATAGAATATTGTTCTAGCAACATGGAGGAGTAATGGTAAAGGAAGAAGAAGAATGGAGTAGGAGAAAATAATAAGGGGCCAAAAGGGTATGGTGAGAGTGGACTAAGACTTGTTCTATCAAAGCATGCAACAAGATGTGCTAAGAGGTGTTATGTTACCAAACCAAACCGTGAAATGGTATATAATATAAGATTGAGCTTACCTTGGAGTATGAATTCATTGTCAGTTTCCCTTTAATTTAATTTTATAGTAACCGACAAACACTTCTCATTTGTAAGCAATGAAAGCGTTTATTGATTTATATTTTGTTTTGTTTTGTTTTCAAAGGAGAGAGAAAGCTAACATGTATTGCCTAAGTTGTTGTGCTTTCCTTTACTTGGGGCCAAATGGTCATCACCAGATATGATTTTCCATTAATCATAAACAAAAATAATATATAATAAATGTGATGCTTTTCTAGATAATCTTGCTCTTGGCATTACATTTACATACAATGTTTCTCTTTCTTATTCAGAGCAAAGTTCAAAACGCAAACTGGACTGGGTGCTTTTCCTGAGCTATGCTTCCTTGTCAAACGAACATTTAGGGTTCTCCCATTATTCTTTTTTTCTGACTGACATTTAATTTTATGTTAATCCACCTTTTCCTTTTAAATTTTATTGGGGATGCAACTTGTTTGTTACTTTAACAAAACGAAATTTATATTAATATTAGAGTATATATATTTTAAATTCCAGTAAAATTATCAAATATTAATTTTAATTTATTATTAAATTTGATTCGATTTTTATCCTATATTTGATTAAAACTAATATTTTTTTTACTCCTTTGTCAAGGAATAAAAAATGCATAATTTTATATTTTGTAATGACTAAAAATAAATAAAAGTTAACCAAGAATTAAAATTTAATTAATTAAAATAGACTAAAGGCATATTTAATATTATTAGTTTATTTTACTGGTGAAACTGCAGCTTATATTTGTTAAGTTATATTAAGGAGGAATATACATTTTGTTGTCTTATTAAAAATATTGAAACATACCCTCAATTTAGGAATGGATTTCCAACATTCCATTATCCATGAAGAACTTAAATGCGCCAGTCCCTCTCCCATTAAGTGCACCTAAACATCATAATTTATTGTTCTATGTTCATTGATGAAGGTTGGAGAGAAAAACATTTCCACATGTAAACTTTGTCTTATTGGACGAATAATGGATCCTTCCATATGGCAAATTCATTGAGTGAGACACTTAAATATGGCCACAGTGAAGCCAAACTAAGTGCAGACAAATAAATACAAAAGCATATTAAAAAATGAAATAAAAAATAATAATAACGCCTGGTAACATTATTGGGTGCAAATTGTTGAGATACTAAGATAAAATTGCAACTGACATATTATTAGATGCAAATCACCTCAAGCCATACAAGTAATAAAATTAGAGTTAGATGGGTAAAAATGAAATAAGTATATATAAGTTAAAAAAAATGCTTAAAACTGTACCCCGGGTAAGGTGATCAGTTAATGCATGTAGCGTTATACCAAAAACATCAGAAAATTTGTGAAATGTATTTTTAGACGTAATTTTGGGGGAAAGGTTCAATATCTAAATTAACTTGAAGCTCCAACTTCGTACCTTTCTTCCACATTAGTGGTAAAATAGAAAAAAGAGAGAAAGGGTATTTTTTATCTTGTGTACAAATGAAGAGCAACAACATTTTTTTTGGTAGAAATTATATACTAACATTTACTGATCTTCAGAAGTTGAAGTATTCTGAAGCTGTTTAATATCTTTTAGTCTACTTCGTACTGATTTTATCTAAACATAAGGTATAAAGCAGCTATCATCCAAATAATTAACAATCATTCTCTGACCAGTTAATCTGATGATGAAATATAATTGAATTGCTTTTTCACATAAAAGTGAACATCGTTACTTAAATTATAACTAATGGCTTTATGATGTTAATATATTTCGTAAGATAGTTATGTATATTAATGACTCGGCCAATGAGAATTTCTTTCACGCTTTTGTTTAATTCAATGATAAGTTAAAGATAGGTACTTTTTCTTTTAAATTGAACAGCATGTGATATGTGATTGATCATTGTAAATTGCATTGTAAGATAATGTATGCTGTTCTTTTTAATAATTACGTATTGAAAAGGAGATGTTATGTTATTCTAAACTCAAAGTTTATCTGAATAAAAATATTTCTTGCGGAGTGAGTTAACTTTTCTATACTGAAGGTATTTTTAACTTAAATAGAATTATTTTTATAAAAAAATACATATTATCTAGACATTAAAAAAAAAATTTGCTGCAAACTTTAATAATGAGTTATAATAATATTCTATAAATAAATCACCAAAACCTCATAACTCACATTTTATAATTAAATAACCAACGAATAAAAAAAATTACATTTAAAAATAAAATATCTCGCTTGGTCTAGCCATCGGTACGCAGGCCTAATGAGTTTGTCAGGCGTATATTATTTATTATATATGCTGAAGACAAGACTCATCCATAAGCTAAAGCTAAAGATTGAATAATTAATATAAATATTACGAAAGGGTATACAAACATGATATATAAAATAATTGTGTTAAGAGACTAATTTCTCAATATAATAAATGCTAAAGTGAAATTCCTCCTAAAAGCCATGAATTTCAATTTCAAGTTAATACAATTCAATATTTACCTACTTTATTTGCTTCATAACAAAGGGGTCAAAGAAAAAAAATTTACTTCTTAAGTGGAAACACACATAAAATATATATATATATATATATATATATGTTAATTATATATACGATATAGGATTGAGCCAGCTACACCAATCTTAGACTCAGGAATGAATGATGAGTGGCAGTTTTATGATCAAGTCAGCTAGCTGTTGGCTTTAAGGAACATGTAAAGAATGAAGTTGTTTGTTGGTGAATAGATCCCTAAACAAGATGTTAATCTATGGTAAGATGTTTCGTTCAAGAGTGGAATATGGGGTAGGCAGCCCTTCAGATAAGGGATAAAGCTCTTTAAGTAGCTCTTTTAAGTGGAACGTTCCGATTCCACAGATATGGATGCAACTATACTATTTTTTACTTCAACAGAGGACTTTGCAGTTGTGGTATGTTTCATACATGATCAGAAAATAGCTGTGATGCTAAAGGAAATAATGTAGGTAGTCGTTGATTCACAATCGCTAGTGTTTTGTACTCGGTTAGAGTCCCAGGAGGCATTAGCATAAAAATGTTACGTGGAACCTATTTCAAAATACATGAAGAGTAAACAATGCAAGTGTTACAGCTTCCAAAGTATAGAAAAATAAATGTAAATAAGCAGTTTCTAGCTAAGCCAAAAGATTACACTCAAACAAAGTTAAAAAGAGAAGAATTCAACATGTACTATTTAATTTGGAGATATCTTATGTCTTAAAAAGAAGGTAATGGTTGTTCATGACAACCATCTCAACACATCAATTAACATATCTAAATATAATGCTTCTAAAAATAACAATATGCATTAACAAGAGATTGAAACTCTTTTCTATATATTAAAAAAAAAGGCCAATGCTTGACTTTTCTTAATTAACTCATGCTCTTATCTTAGTGCAGCGATAATTAATTAAGTACAATTTATGTTTTAGAGTACCTTATCCTTTTTAATAATATATAAAGGAATTTTGAAAAAGATAAATTCATTTCCTCTAATGAACACTCATTATATTTGTTTAATTCACCTCACAAATCGAACGTCCCTAAACTCTCATTTTTCTTGCATTTCGTAAACTTATAAGATATGAAATCTTCATGCTAATTATTAATCAAACAATTCCAGTCTTCTTGTAATAAAAATTAGATACTAAATAAAATAGATTTTATTTTAGTATTATTGTTAATGCATATTAAAATAACAAATTAAATATATTATGTTATTATATTATATTAATTAAAAAACATAAAAATAAAAAAAGCTATCTTATTTTTTATTCTATCTACAATTGAATAATAACGTGCCTATATTTATATAAACTGAAATCATAAATAAGTTTTTATACAACCTTTTATATATTTAAGTTTAAAGAAATTTGCCTTAAGACTATAACAATGTCTCGTTTAATACATGCTTTATAAAATATTTTAAAATATGATTAATAAAAATAACAATAATAACAAATACTTTTATATAAATGATGGGATTGAAATATCTTGAATTGGGTGGCATAGTAGTGCATAGCCATATTGACGAAGCTGGAAAAATCTAAAAGTGGCACAAAAAAGAAATCCTAGGCTGAAGAAGAAAGGTTAAATTTCCCTGTATTTGGGAACCTTATCTATGCAACTCCATAAGAAGAGAGAAGGAGTGAGTGAGTGATGCGAGTAACTGAAAGCATGAATTCCCTTTTTCTGCAGAATGCAAACCCAATGCACTTCACTTTCCACACCCAAACCATTTCCCCCAAACCAAAACCCATCCAACAGCGCTATTACCCACGCTTACGATGCTGCATCGAAATCGACATGGTGAAGAACAACCAAGGCATCTACGCCCCCAAAAACGACAAAGTCGTTGTCCTCTGGGACCTCGACAACAAACCCCCTCGCGGCCCTCCATACGACGCCGCCGTTTCCCTCAAAACCCTCGCCCAAAGCTTCGGCCACCTTGTCGACTTCTCCGCCTACGCCAACCGCCACGCCTTCGTCCACCTCCCTCAGTGGGTCTTAAACCAACGCCGCGAACGCCGAAACCTCGACATCTTCGAACGCAAGGGCATCGTCACTCCCTCCGAATCCTACACGTGCGGCGTGTGTGGCCGCAAGTGCAAGACCCACTTAGACCTCAAGAAACACTTCAAGCAGCTACACCAGCGCGAGCGCCAGAAGAAGCTTAATCGCTTGAAGTCGCTTAAGGGGAAAAAACGACACCGTTTTAAGGAACGGTTCCTTCGCGGTAACCACAAGTATGATGAGGCTGCAAGGACCTTGATTGTTCCTAAGGTTGGGTATGGACTCGCTGCGGAGTTGCGGCGTGCTGGTGTGTTTGTGAAGACGGTCCAGGATAAGCCTCAGGCTGCGGATTGGGCGCTGAAGAGGCAAATGGTGCACTCCATGAGTAGAGGAATTGATTGGTTGTTTTTGGTTTCTGATGATTCGGATTTTTCGGAGATGTTGAGGAGGGCGAGGGAGAACAATTTGGGAACTGTTGTGGTTGGGGATTGGGATAGGGCTTTGGGTAGACATGCTGATTTGTGGGTTCCTTGGATTGAGGTTGAGAATGGGGAAATTTCGGGTGGGGATTTGGTGTTGAAGAAAAGGGAGGAGAAGAGGAGAATGGATGAATTGGAGCAAGATGGGTTGGTTTTTTATGAGGATGAAGATTTGGATCAAGAGTTCTTGTTGGTGTACAGCGAGGATGACGAGGACTATGAAGAAGAAGAAGAAGAAGAAAAGTTTTATATTTATTGATTATTTTTGGATGAGGATGAGTCTGTTTTCAATTTGGAATCAATTATACCCAAATAGAGGTTGAACGATGTTCAGTCGAAGATTATATATGTAGCAAAGTGGCATCTTCTACTTGGATTGGAGGGCACCCCATTGCATTGCCTTCCATTGAGGATTGAGGAATGAAGTCCTCTTTTTTAATGCTGCCTCGTGCAATGCAATTTTCTTCGCCTTTCCTGTTCCCGTGAGTCATTTCATTTTTTTCCCTCCCTTGCATAGATATTATGGATATTGGATAAGATGACTACCATAATTATTAGAAAGATATATTGCAGTTTGCCGTGGCCGTTAAAGTTCCAAGTGCCCCTTAGCTGTATCATATGCTTGAGTTCAATTTAATCATATTTTGTTGATTTAAAATTTGGTTTTCAATCTAACTCAGTAATAGAGCTGGATAATCCATGTAGGCGATCTCACCTTTGGGATGTAAGATAAAGCTTTGTTGAAGCTGTTGTACAGTTTGTGTTAAACTTTTGTGGAGTAACTGACACGATTCATTTTTCTTTGTGCTTGCACTTTATTAGGTAATTTAGGTTTACAGGCTGCTAAAGTTTTATGTGTGGAAGCAAATATGATAATAGGAATAATGACTGTTTGCCGATGATATTCTGTTGATATAAAGTGGAAGAAGGTAATCTTGTCACTTTTCTATGAAATTTCTTGTTGGACTCATTCCTAGATTTTCTTTTGATATTCTTATGGTTAATTACTTTACCCCTGAAAATATGAATGTGCTTGGAATACAATACATTCCTCATTTTTTGTTAATCTTAGTAACGAAGGATAAGGCCAGTGGTGATATTTCAGAGAATATAGAGAAAATTATTTAAAAGGGATTTTATGGTAAATAATATTTCAAAGAATCAATCTCAATAGCTTCTATGATTCATGTAGTTAACTTCATTTAGTGAGATAATACTTGTGTATTTACGAGAGATGCATTTATAGTTAGATAAACAAGCAGGAACCTTCGGTGCAGTTTTGCATTTGGATCTAGGCTATGATTGGAAGTAGGGTTCAAGGTTTGCTTTTGACTCTAATCTGCGGAAGATCAGTTTCTCAAGCATAGAAAATTTGCGTTCCTGCTGGAATTGACAACTCACCATGGATGAGGAGACACATGGACATGAGAATACAACTCGATGTAGTTCTTGAAATTGTAACATTTGATTCATTTACTATACAGAATCTTTGCTTTAGTTCATTCCCCTAATTTAGTTTGTAGAATGACATTTATTTAACTTTTTGGTCAAATTGATATTAGAAAATAAAGTGAAAAAATTGTTTTAAAAAAAATCAAACTAAAATGAGAATTTGTAAATTAAGGACTAAAGTGAAATTTTTAGGAACTAAAATAAAGATTACCTCAATGCCTCTTATAAATTTGTGCATTGCATTGTTTAAAGTACTTTGGTTTACTTTGACAAAAAGTTACAATTGAAACATGACTCAGTTGCTTGGTATTGGAACCATTTTTTTTCAATATCTAATAACTAGGACCCTTTATCCTTAGACGTGAATGCAAGGCCCAGATATGAATCTATATTAGTTCATATGTAAAAACTAAAAAAAGAATATAGTGGGCTTGGCAAAAATGGAGTGTGGTTGAATCATTTGTTGTTCTGTGATGGGAATTACCTGATTTGACAACAATAAAATAACTGATGCGGTTTTACAAATAAAGCATTGGTCTTGATTGGGTGCTTCACAGGTGAGACGCTGCAAATTCTCATTGTTGATCTTTACCAGCAGAGAAGGGTGAGTTGTGAAACTCTGAATCATATTTAAAGTAAGTTAGCCCTTTTGGACTTTATTTATCTTCTTAAGGCGACTTGATAATATGAATGACACCTGTGCAGGGACAGTGGGTACTCCTTTCTTCTCTGTTTTTCTATCATTAATAATTCTCTTCCATCTTCATTTTCAATCCCCATCACAGAGTTTCTTTTTTCCGTCTTCAAGTTCTCATCAATTTCCACGGAAATTCCAAACTCGGTATAATTTAGCAGCGTGGCTAGAGTTTTGTAGGTTCTTTAATTTGATATTTGACTGAAATCACAAAGTGAAAATAAAAAAAGAAGAAGGAAGATTAATTATAAAAATAAAAAAAGCCAAGTGATAAAACAAGTAAAAACATAGTTATTGACTTTTATTTTAAATATAGTAATTTAAACTAAAATTAGTAAAATGAACAATATAATCAATTAAGGTTTTTTCAAGATGTTTCAAGCATGGTGACTGAAAGGGCAGAAATTATTATCCCTTCCCCCATCTCTAAATTTGCCTCAAAAGTCTTTCAGCTTCATCCTCATTCTTATATAAAAAAAAGTCCTCAACCTTGAAACTCCAAATGAGACAATTTAAGAAGGATTTTTCAATACAAAAATTGTCATCTCTGCATTATGTTAACATGATAAAATATAAAGGTGTTATTTTGTAAAATGAATGTATTGTTTCTTTTCATGTCTTAGAACTCTTGGGAATATTCTGTATGTGAAAATAACTTAAATTCTTGATAATTTTATTTTTGTGATTAAGATTCAAATTATTTATTATTTTAAATGAGTTTTAAGTTCTTTAATTATTTATATTTTTATGTAATTTCTTTTTTAATCTCTTAATAAATTTTTTATTTTTTATATAATTTTTCTATTGATAATTTATTACTTTTTTTTCAATTATTTATCTATTTTTCTACACCTTTATGTTTTCAAATCTCAATTTTAAAAATTTTAACTTCATAATATAAAATTTTATTGAAAAATATGATAACTTAGATGATATATAAAAATATAACATTAACAAACTATTAATAGAAAGATTATATAAAAATAAATGAATATTTTAAAAATTATATTATATTTTAAAAAAATTAAATGAAAAATCTAGATTACGTTGAAAGGATATTTTTTTATAGACAAAATATATATTATTAGAAAGAATTTAAGAAAAATTTAAAACTCATATACATAGAAAAAAATATATTTATTTAAAAAAATAAAATATATATATATATATATATATATATATTTATATAAAGTTAAGACAAAAATTGAATAGATAATTTTAATTCTAGCTGGTCATGAATCTATAATTTTACTTAGTACGGTATATTTTTTCTATTAATCCAAATGAATTAGCTTTGAAGGATGTGGTTTTCATTAATTTTATCTAAAACACAACATTGCATTGCATAAAAGAAAAGACTTATTGTGAATTGGAAAAGTGTCCTGATAAGATTTGTGTGATGAAAATGTAAATAGGCCAAATACACATATTTGATTCATATTCACGGCACCAGAGGCTGGGTAGGATCTGGACAGGTTATAACATTTCTGAATTCTGATAGCGAGACGCGTGATTGAACATTTGTCTTGTCGCCGCAAAAGCATCAAGTTTCTAATATTTATGAGCTGCTACCAAAGGTGCTTCCTTCTTAATCCATAATTAACGATTTGATTAATTGCACTAATCCGTGTGGTGTTGGAACTGCTTTGCTGGCTTCCTCACCATTTGGCATCCAATTCATGATTCATGAATGATGATGATTGGTCAACCTAGAAGAAGCCACCCAAACACTATACATGCTTTTGCTTTTATTTTATGTCTTAACCTTTAATCAAGTCTATTACCAAACATAAGTTTAAACATTTATATTTTTTAATTAAATTATTTTATCTTATTTTCATAATTATATAATTTAGACATGTATGAATATGTTATTAGTTTATATTTTAAAAATATAGTATTAATTAAAATAAATAATATAGTAAAGTTAAAATTTTATAAAATTAATCTATATAATAAAGTTTTTACAACTATTGTTATTATAAAGATAGCAATGCAAATGCAGCATGATGTTACATCAATATAATTTGGAAATTGTCATTATAATAACATTTGTGGGCAAAATGGACTGCCGACTGAAACTCCTCAATGTTGGAAAGTCTGGTGGATCCTACTTACTGCATCAGCTATTTTGTTTTATTCTCTTTTCTTTTTTTTTTAACAATCTATCAGTATTCAGAGCATCGTCAATGAAACTTTTTCTTAAATTGTTTAAATTTGATTTTATTATTTTTTATGTGAGTCTTAAATAATTCTTTTTTAATTTTTTTTCAACATCTCTCAGCTTTGTAACCATTAAGAATTGTATTAGAGGAGTTTCACAGAGTATTTTATATTTTTATACATTTATTTTAATTTTAAAGTTTGTTACTCAGTTCCACAATTTTTTGTTGAGCAAACTATACTTAATATACTCTTCACGTCAACTAATCTTTAATAATCAATTGTTGCTTATTTAGAAAAAGTAGTTAAATACTTCTACTAAAGATGCTACAAGACGTTATCTTAATCTTCATTCAACCTAAAATTTTGATAAAAATAATTTATTTATACTTCCAAAATGCCAACTAATTTATAAGAAAAAATTTACCCGACAAAAATTATTGATATAATATATAAATTTTAATGTTATATATAATTAAAGAAATATAAATTAAAACTAAGGTCTACTAAATAATATTTTTAAAACACTAGTTAAAAAATTGAAAAATTTTATTAAAGATTATGTTGAAGAGTCTATTAGGGTTCACTTTGAGTAAATTTTGAAAGAAGTCTTTATAAGAAAAAAATTTAGTATAAAGAAAAAAAAAATTTCATAAGTTAGAAATAATTTGTGTTTTTCTATTTTTTTAAAAATATTTTTATTTAAATTTTCTAAACATTGAGGTAATTTTTAATAAGAGTTTTATTCTTTTTTTTCCTATTTTTCTTTTAAGGATTTTTCTAAATTTTTTTTCTCAAATTGGGCTTAGAAAAAAGTTATAAAAAATAATTGATTACTTCTATAAATTTATTTTCACTTATTTTAATAAGTTTCTTGATATAGATTATTGTTAAAATAAATTGTTTTTAATAAATTTTATTATTAAATTTATGAAAAATTATTTTAAAAAAACTTATTGAATAAATGCTTAAATAAGTAATTATTCAAATGCATATAAAATATATTAATAATAATATAAAAAGATCTATTAATAATATTGTTAAAAATATTGTTATTTCTTAATCAATATCTTAAAGGCATTAATTAACATATACCTAAATATATTATGTTATGTAAAATGTTATTAATTAAGTTAAAAAATTATTTTAATATATAACGTTAAGAAAATATAGATTAAAATATAATACTTTTTAATGAGTGGTTAATGGACCACACACAGTAAAAAATTATGAATGATAAAATTTTATTAAAAAAATAAAATATCACGTAATTTAATACACAAATAATATTAAACATTATACATTTTTTAATAAAAGTTTATTATTTTTGAACATGTGACAAGAAAGTAACAATCGATAGTACATGACATGTTATAAACACCCACTAACATAAACTTGTGAAATATACTTTCACTTAAAATAAGGAAATATGATCTATTAAGAAAAAAATTCATGTCTCCTGAAGAATAAAATTATTTGCATTATTTTTTCCTTTAAAATTAAGGAAAATAACAACCTTAATTCTTAAAATTGATTTTAAATGAATAAAACAAGAATTTTTTTTATTAAAAACATTTATAATTATTTTGAAAATTTTCAAATTGGTCATAATTAAAATTAAAAAAACCATAAATCAGTATTATTATATCTTAAAGAAAAAGAAACTTGGAAAATGCAGAATGTATAACTAAAAATAAATTCACTCGATGTTTGATGATTGAAAAAGAAGAAAATAAAATGGTGTCTTGCGCTGTGAGTGACTCATGTCGTGCTGACGATGACCCAATATCCGACACTTACAATTCGTTTCATGATCATCTTTTGGTGGACCTTCTTACCCTTTTATTCACATTATCTTCTTTTTAATTATTAGCTTTCCATTCTAAATTCTAAAAGATAATGATCTCACTCTGATGCATGCAAATGTGCAAGCATTTTGTTTCTTCAGAGATCAACACCACATCTTATGATGCTAATTTTAATTCGTTTCAATTTTTTAAATTAGATTTGGTGTATTTTATAATATTTTATTTTAAACTTATGTTTTTTGTTAAAAAATTATATATTAATAATAAATTTTTTTATATCATAATATCATATTTATATTAATATAGTACATTTTAATATATATATATATATATATATATATCATAAAATATTTTATATTTCACTACTGAACACGTAGATTAGTTGGTAAATAATTATTTCAGTTGAATAAAATTATAATCATAACGTTGTTATTGAATTTAATTTATGTTGTGTTATCAGCCAACAAGATATTGCAATCAAACTAATCACCCACTT